TTGCGATTTCACGGGAACCGATTTCGGACCGTTGGCCAATTGCAAAAAGTTGAATTCCTTTACAATCCAGTATTGCCTGGGAGATTGAGATCTGAAAGGTTTTATTTAGTTTACCGATGTACAATACTTTTGTTCTATTGTATTTAAATAAAATATTGTGATTTATTAGCGCATATTATGTCCTCCTTCTGCATAAACAAGACGCAGTGAAAGTTCGCTTCAATGACATCATTTCACACTCGAACCATTTCTGACTATTTTGCAATAAATGAAAGAGATCGATTCTTCTTTCGTCACGTAGGTCACGTGTTATAAGTGATTCACTTAATTGGTTAGTTGCGTATACACATACGAAGAACTCGCAACCGGAAAAATTCGCAAACCATTCTTCTTGTGTTTCTGTGGAATCAACAAACAATATATGCGTAGCGCATAACCATCAAAAGTGAAACAAAACTCTTCTTACTATTGTCACATTTTCTCACGATCATCAAATTACAAAGACTGAAACGCCCTTTCTCGGCCAAACATTTAGTCACTCTTTAGGCAATTTCATACTATTGAAAAAAAAAAAAAAAAAAAAAAAACGGGTTTCACGAGAAGTTCATCTTCATTCTCGGCCCAAGTTTGGTGCCATCAATTTTTTCTTTTAATGTGATCACGTGAATGTGTATCTGCGAAGATCTCTGCTGATACACGCGTTTTAATTTTATAATTGATCATTTGTCTGATAGATCTTTGTGTTTTTTAATCGATGACACAAAAAAAAAAAAATTTTTTTTTTACATCAGTATCTTATTATTCTTTTATTGTGGATTAAATAAGTTGTTGATAAATAATTCTATGTAGAGGGAATTAAAATGACTAATAAATGGTTATAGTGTGTTCTTTTAATAAAATATATAGTACATTGGGAAACATGTGAACTCTATCAATGCTCGTCTAATTAATTCACCAGCTATTTATTTCTCGCAATGGCACAGCTCGGATGCTATAATCTTTACACAATTTCTTTAACTCCTTCCATTCTCTCTTTGCGAATGAGTCCTTTGCTCCCCCGTCACCTATGCCCAACACCTCTAATCGATCGCTCCTCTTCGCATACTCCCTGATAACCCTGAAATGCGAATGATCGAAATACATGTAGTCCATTATCAGGGTTGTCAGGTCGCGTCTCGAGAGCAAGCTATCCAGTTGAATGGTGGTGAATCCGCACCGCAGTATTAGGCAGTCCAATGTTTCCGGTAGGTCGCCGGATGTCAGTATCATGTTTTCGTAATCCGCATTCTTGGGACTAATAAATATCTCAAGTTTTCGTAAATATTTCAGTCCTCCTAATAGTTCACCGATTTTCGTGGGCTGTTGTAGGAAATAATTCGCCAATTTTAGCCGTTTCAGTTTGGGACAATTATCTAGTATGGTGATGATTGTCTCCGGTGTTATTAGATCCAAGGTCAACTCCTCCAGAGATTCGCCTGCGATCGGAAATATCAATAGTTGAGACACGAGGGCGGCCGGTGAACATCCGATGTCGAGAGACTTGAGCGTGAACTGGGGTTTCTTTAAATTGAGAATGCTTTCGTTGGTCAATCCCTGGCAATACTGGATTGTAAAGGAATTCAACTTTTTGCAATTGGCCAACGGTCCGAAATCGGTTCCCGTGAAATCGCAA